AAAGAGGAAGGGAAATGAGGAAAGAATCTGTAGAATCTGATGACTTGATCTAAATGTGTGAAGACAAAAGAGTTTGTCACAGATTAGCCTCAAGCACTAGTGAAAACTTGGTAACCCCTGACAGCAGGGTTTGCTCCCCAGGGGACAGTGGTAAGCTGATGTGTTTGGCACAGGAGCTACTGGAAAGCAACAATCAGTAGCGCAGGGACCTTGTCTGTGTTCTTGTATCCCAGGAGCTAGCACAGGAACTGACAGGAGAGGCCCAGGAAGCAATTTTTGAATGAATGAATGGATGAATGAATGAATGAATTGTCCAGGAACATTGTGCACCTACAAGTACTATAAGTAAGGTCTGAACAGTGGTGTCAAGTGGATAATTTATTGTGAACAATAGGCCAACCTTCAGGGACAGGTAAATAAAAATCCATATTTAACCTAGGAAGAAAAGTATGTGTTTCTCAAGGAAACATAGAAAGCTGTCCACCCAACAGAAAGTAGTCACTGTTGAAACTTGAACACAGATACAAAGGGAATTTTCTAATTCAGAGAACATAAAATAAGCATATTCAAATTGCGGGGGAGGGGGCTTGTTCTTGTATGTATTGTTTTATCATCTCCATCCTGGGTATAGGATAAAAGAAAAGCCTTACTTGCTTGTTAGAAGAAGAAAGCTCGCACTTGAAGTTCCTACTTGGCAGATGTCAGTTGAAAGCTCTGCTTATGGAATATGCTGCAGTGTCAAACTCTGTTGGGTAATTTTAGACGAATGTGTCATGTGTGACATGGAAATATGGCATGCTGTACATTAGTGATTTCCCAAGTGTTTGCATCAGGTAGTAATGTGCTCAGAAAGTGCTCTTCATCTACCCACACGGTGTACTTGTAGAGCAATGGGGAAATGCTTTTGGTGGAAATTACTTTAGTCAGAAAAAGAATCCATTTACAATATGCGCCTTCTAACATCTTTCAGACAATGCATTGTATTAAAGAGCATTTTTTGATTAATGTTTTATAAACATTTTTCAGCATGACAGCTTAAAGTCCCTGTAAAATTGTAAATGCGTGCATAGTGTTCACTTCCATAAAGTCAAATGCCATCTCATAAAGTCTAGTTGAATCCTGTCAACCATGGTGACACAGAATCAGTACCTGGGAGCATTAAAATTAATTTCCTTCATTTATATTACTGCACTGATAGCAAGATGAAAAGAATCCCATATTTAAATTTTGCTCTAAAAAGAAAACTCTTTCTAGTAAGTTTGTTTGGGTTTTTAAATTATTGCTATTTTTCCTAATTAATGAATGTAGTAAAAAAAATGGGGTAATAAATAGACTGCATAGTGATTTTATGATGGGATCTGGAAAAAATGCAAATTGTTCACCCAGTGCACTCCTCTGAGCACCGACTGTGTGCGCCAAGATAAATAAGAGTTTCTGGCCCTAAAGCTTACAGCTCGGTGCAGGAAACACCAAGATACTGGTTACAACAAGTACAGTGAATTCAAGGATAGAACTGTTAAGTGTGGGGTGGAAGGCAGCCCCTTAGCCTGGCTTCTTAGAGGAGTCAGCCCAAGAACTGAGGGCTGGAGGACACAGCAGGAAAACAGTGGCTGATGAGCATCCTAAGCAAAGGGAACAGCGGGGCAAGAGCCGAGAGGCAAGGCAGGGTGTGGACAGCCGTGGATGGGAGAGAGATAGAAGTGCTTGCTGTGGCTAGAGCGCAGATATTAGAGGGAGGAAGACAAGAGTTGGGGGCCAGACCACAAAGTCCTTGTGTGCTACCCTGAGGAGACACTCCCATGCCGAAAACTCCTACATGACTTGACATCATCAGATTCGCGCTTCAGGATGCTCACTCTAATGCTAGAGTGGAAAACAACTCAGGTGGGACAAACCTAGAAGTAGAGCACCTGGTCTGGGGACAGTATGGGAGATACAGCTGAGAGAGGGTGGTGCCCTGAAGGAAGGTACCAGGGACACAGATGTGAGGCTAATGTGCCTAAGAAGTCACTCAATGCAGAGTGGGTTAGTTTTCCGTGACTGTGACAAAATGCCTGAAATAATCAAGGAGATAGTACAGGCACACAAAGTGGTGTTTAATTTGACAAATGTCCACACATCTACAAGTCATCACTGATCCCCTCTCTTTTTCACATAAGGCAAATGACTATGAAAGGCAAAGTAGGGAAAGGGCCAGCAGGGTCTGTCAGGAAAACCGAATCTACCCTTTCAGTACAGGGAATTGACTCAGCATTGTTGGAAAACTAGAAAGGGAAAGAGACCATGAGGAAACACAAGAGTAATAGCTGCAGGAAGTGCCTGGAGCTGGGGGCACGGGAGGGTTGTATGTCAGCCCTAGGAGGAGGACGCGGCAGGACAGGACCCAGATCTCCGAGGAGGAGCACTGGTGCTGGGGAATCCGAGGGGCTGCTGCTGGCAAGAAGCAGCGACACCAGAGGATCCACACCCTCCCGTCCCTTCTTCCTCTCATGCCCCCTATTGGCAGAATGTTGAGGGGGAACAACTGGCCAGGAGGAATGAGGGTCCCAGAGTCCCAGGGAAAAAAGGATGTGTTTGAAGATGAGCGAGCAGAGCTGATCATACCAGAAGAGAGCTCAGGCAGTTGGCGTTAGGTCCAAAGAAGGAAGAGGATGCTAGTACACTAGAAGCTTCCGGAAGGCCAAGACGTGCCTGTGTGTGAATCCGTGACTTCATGGCATTGTGGGGTCAGCCTGGCAGTCACCACACCTTTCACCCAGCCGGAGGCTCAGAAGGAGGTCACCGCAGGAGAGGGGCAGCATGAGGGCAGTGGGCAGAATGAGTTAATGGACTGCTGGCCTCTACAGCTGATTGCTACCAGGCCTCCTTCTGCTTCCCCAGCTGAGGTGCCCAGTCCCCTAAGTGCAGAACTGACTTTGCCCAAAGCAGACTCCAGGAACTGCAATGCACCCCATGTGGTCTGGACTCCTCTGGGGAAGGTTGCCTGACCACCAGGCTCTCAAGCTCCTCAGCAAAATGGCAAATGCAGTGGTTTTCACAGATCTCTGGTGGTTACTGTGAGGAATAGGTCAGTCAGTATGGAAAATCACTGGACAGAACAGGACACAGCAAGCGCTCGGTACATACTGACCATGATTATCACCATTGCTGTCTCTGCTGCCCGATTTATCACATGAGGGTCACTTTCTGATGTCGCTCACATGTAGAGCTCTTGTGTACTTTGTAGTGGCTTCTTGGTTTACCCACTGTAGCAGCAGCATCTGGCACCGTCTATGGCTTCTCTTCAGAGCCCGCTTGAGCTTGTAGAGAATGACACAGCCCAGATTCCCAGGCAAGAATGGGGAACTCTGATTGTTTAGCCTAGCAGCCATAATCTTTGAATGTAGGATCCAAAAGCCATTCTAAGAATATTTTTAGGTACAAATATCCCCATATTTCTATCACTTACTTCCTTTCGCTTCCCTTTTACTGGGTCCCACCCAGTTTCTTATCATCCCTCTGGGCCAAGGAATAAGTTTTTTCGAAACAGAAGGAGTAAGTCCAGGCCTTAATTTTCTCCCTTTATAATAACTTCCCAACACTTTAGCATCAGATGCTGCTTTTCAATAATGAGTGGATTTTTAAAGCTTTTTATTTAAAAAAAAAGTTTTTCCATCTTGTTTTTTTAAAATATACATTGGTGCGAAGACAGAACTTGTGCAAAAATCTAAACCTACTTTGGAAGCTCTAAGAGGGGGTTTATGTTGGGAAGGGTGAAATGTTTTCAGTTTATGGCAATGATATGTGAGGCTGTGAAAAAGGAGGCAGCCATGAAATACATTTTTGCATAAAGGTTTGAAATTTATTACCAGGTAAAAATAATTGGAAAAGCTGAACCTTTCTCATTGTGTTACAATAAAAAGCTATTTATGTGCCCTCATCATGCATACTTAGGAGCCCGGTTCCCTTTCAGAGGGCGTTCTTAGAGAAACACAAAGAGAGCGAAGTTGTTAAAGCTGTTCAGCTGGAAAGGCTGACTTACATACCCAGCAGTTCTGAAAACCGGGGCCCTATTAGAACAATTGGTAATGATGGTTAAACTGCTACAGAAGCTCAGGAGCTATGTTCTGTGACAGCTGCTTGCAAAAAACATGCACACCTTGCCCTTTTATAATAGATTGGTAGGCTCACAAACTAGTGCTTAAGTCCATTAAGACTTTCACCGTGGAGTTTGAACGTTCAGAACTAATTTTACAATTCACCTGCCATAGACAGAATTGTATGATCCTTGCTTAGTGATTGTAAAGCACTTTGAGATCCTTGATCAAAAGAGAATGTACAGGGTTGGAGTTAGCTCAGTGATGTAGATGCTGTGCTTAGCATACCTGAAGCCCTGGATTCAATCCCTAGCACCAGAGAGAATCAGAGAGGGGACAGACAGACAGACACAGGCAGACAGACAGACACAGAGAGGCAGACAGTGAATGAATGAATGAATATGCAAAGATTCTATTAATGTTCATGTGGCTAAAGTATCTCTTACTGTAGCAGTGTGTACCGTGTTATCTTCTCATATCTTTTCATCTCCTGAAAGTGAGCTTTGGGACTTCAAAACGGTACCACACTGGCGTCCCCAAAGAACAACAGACTGTCTCACCACTGCACGAGGAGAGATTCATCTTCAACTTCTACTCACCGATACTTTTTCAGCCTTCTTAAAGTAACTCCGTTACACACAGTCTCCCCCTCCTTCCCTTGATTGGATGGGCAAAGTTCTTGGTGGCCCAGAATCCTGGCCCCCTTTTTACATTCGTCTCTTCTAGATTGAGCTTAGAGCCTTATGTATTAAAAGGAAGAAAGATTTGTTGACTTATTTGAGACTTTCCCAGTTCAGTTCTGTGCGTTCCCATGGGGAAGTATGGAAATAACCTATCCCAAAGTTCTGGTGTTAATGGAGCATGTCTTTAACTTGGTGACAGCCTGAATTTGCCTCTGAGTTTTCTGTTTTCTTTGTTCATCAGGAATTCCAATGCTGAAGATAGTGTTTGCAGGACATGAGCATCTCTCACTAATATCCGTGCCCTTGCTCATCTACCACCCAGCTCAGATCCTCCTGGGGAGTGTGCTGGTGCCAACAATAAAGTCTTGGATGGTATCCAGGCAAAAGGTGAGGCTCAAGAATGATCTTACTTGGATCCAGATTTGATTGAAATGTTCCTGGATGCAAAGTCTTTGTACCCTCCAGCATTTGCTAGCACATCATTATTCTTGAGTGCACATTTTCTTAACCAAATACTATAACAATAGTGCATTGATGCAGTTCTATTTGAACAGAAGGATTGAATGTTCAGTGTTTTAAATTAATATAGAAGGCAGTTATACTTAGGTTGTAGTTTTTAAGTTCTCCTTTTAATCCTCTCATATTAAAGGGTGTATTTCATGGGGTATTCAAAATGGGCACACCAGGGGCTGGGGATTTAGCTCAGCGGCAAAAAAGCACCTGCCTGGCAAGCGCAAGGTCATGAGTTCAGTTCCCGGTACCAGAGGAAAAAAAAAAAAAAAAGATGGGCACACCACTGCCTCCTTGAGCAAACCATCTCTTGCCACTACATCTTTCATGTGTGTCCTGATTTCACATATTTCTAAATATGATAGAACGTAGATTTATCTAGAATGCTTTCTTCAGTTTTAATTTTCAAGATACATAATTTCTTTGTACAGTAAAATTGTGTTGGAATGCTAAGTAAGTTAAATAGCAAAGGAGCACACACATTATGACTTTCACCACACTTAGTGTGGAAATTTGTTACACATTAGATCTCTATGGATTTGAACTCCTAAATTATCAACCAGAGCAAAATAAGCCAGTGACTCAAAGAAGTTAAGATGACAGAACATGGTAGCACCATTGGAGCTGGCTCCTTCCCAGTAGCTTGGACTTGCCAACACTTACACTTTTCTGTACATGAGTCAGTGACTGTTATCAGATGTGTGGGAAGAGGAGACACCTGTGACAGGGCACCTTGTGTCACATCATCAGTGTGCTGCACACAGAGGCCACCATGGTGGCCCCATTGAGCTGTGTGTGCTAAGCCAGCGCCATCCTTTACCTGGTACTGAGGATGGACCTGACCCAGCTGCCTGGATTGGCACTTACCTACAGTGGCACTCAGAGCAAACTTTACCCTCCCCATTTTACAGATTAAGAAGTGAGCTCCAAGAGTTGAACAACTTGCCCAAGGTCCTGTGCATGGCTTAGTTGGTGATTGATTTAGGACTTAGGAACGCTAGTTTCTTTGATGCCCCCAGCTCTTTCCCCAACATTGCAATGATACCCCAGACACAAATACTGTCTTTAAAAGGCTCACATAGGGCTCCAGGATTCTGCTTAAGAGGTTTAGCTCAGCCAGTATATTCACTCATTCAGTTATCCAACAAAATGTTAGTGATTCCTTTTTTATATCAGGTACCACTCCAGGCTCTGAGCTTCATACCCAGAGTTAGCAGAAGAGTGGTTTAGCATCATCTTCTTCTTTTACTATTCATCCACTTGAAAATTCTCGCTAGTATTCATAGCTGTATTTGTCAATGTGTATGTGCTTCGCCACTCAGAATTTATAAATTTTCACAAAGAATGGAAAAACTGTTTGAAAATGCTAACACTCTTATCAACAGTATGCAGTCATCGTGAACCACAAATTAAGCACTTTTTTCTTTAGATGTTTCAAAGCTCTGAGATTTATTCTACAGAGTAACAGAAGTGTTTCCAAAAGGGAGACTAAATTGGACAATACTGTTCATCTTCCCTTTGCATAGTTTAACTTAGAATAATCAAGGAGGCCTGGAATTTTTGACCACTGAAATAAATACAATGAGTCTACCCTTGCAGTATCAGTGATTGCCTCCTCTGCTCTGCAAACAATACTAAGGGGATCCAGTCCACCGTCTAGCACAGAGCAGAGCTACATGAGCAGCCAGGGCAGGCAGAGGGAGAAGACAGTCTGCTGGCCAGGGAGGTGGGCAGGTAAATTTGTGTCCACAGGTTTGGATTATTGATTGCATAATGCATCCGTGTGGACATGTCAGTCCGTTTTCCATTACTATAACAAATACCTGGGATGATCTACTTATAAAAAGTTGACTTGGCTTACAATTTGGGAGGCTTCAGTCCAAAATCCGTTGGCGCTGTTGTTTTGGGCATGACAATGTATGATGGAAGCATGTAATAGATCTGAACCACTGACCTAATGGTCCAGAAGCAAAAATGAGAAAGAGAAAGGGACCAAGGTTGCACAACCTCCTTTGAGAGGTTCATCCCAGAGACCGAACACACCACTGGAACCTTATAAAGGTCCCACCACCTCCCAACAGCACCAAGCTGAGAACTCCACCTTTAGCTCATGGGTCTTTGGGGAAGATTCCAGATCCAAGCTAGCAGTGAGCCTCTTTCCTTCTAGAAGTGTAAATTCTCTGGTGTTATACAATGCTTTCACTTTGCTCATAGACACTGAATAACTCTGAACAACCTGTTTCCCTTTTTTACAGGGAGTGAAGTTGACAAGGCCAACAGTATAACGGAGGCACACTTCCCGTAGCTGTGTATATATGTACAGGCTTGTACATAACACTCCGATCTGAAGACTTGTACTTGTGAATGTTGCTTCGATGCATATTTTTATTTTTTTACAGAAAAAGTGTGATATACCTGTTTAAGTGCCTTAAAGTTTATTCAACAAGAGCGTTATTTCCAAAACATACTCTGTTGGTTACTGCTAGGGGTGGTACAGTATTTTGGAGTGAATTTCTTTTTTCCCAATGCAGAAAACAGTCCTAAGAAGGACCAAAAACTACCATACCTTCCCTGTATCACCTTTTGTGCAGTACAACTCTGTAATAGTTACTGTAATGTTTGAAATGAGGTCACACCATCAGGAAAAATGCCCTTCTGATGACAGTGAAAATTTCCAAAGTTTTCTTCACGCATACTTTGATTCACTGTGTGATTCTTTTTTCTACAACTGTGACATGCTTCTTCCTTATCAACTCAGCAGGGGTCATGGATCGAATAGATGCTGAAAAGCATAAGATAGCTCTGCATTCCTTGGCATCATTTTTTTAGACATTCCTTCAAATAGTTTCTACACAGAAATTCTTCAGTCCCATCATAAGAAATTGTGGTGTTGTGTCTTAAATTTATTATAAGCTGCTTCAAAGGAAGGGCCTGATGTTTGAGTTATGAGTGAAGTAAGTATGTGAAGTTTTCAGGTAAACTAAAGAATTTGGTTTTCAGGGTTTTAAATTATATCCCAGTGTGTTTTCACTCTTTCTTCTGTAATTTCTTTCTTACCTGCTTCCTACCACACTTGCACACTCGTAGTCACCAAGCATGAGACATACAAAAAATGTTACAGTTAAAGAACAGCAGCAATTAATGATGGATTATATTCACATTCCACAACTGAGGCTATTCTTTTGTTACACAGATGTGCTGAACACTTCCCAAATTTTCCCTTTGGTGAGAACAGCCTGTTACATCTTTGAATTAAGCACACTCAAGACATGTGAGACCATTTTTTTCATAGAGTTGATAAATGTTTGCAGCATTCTTTAAAATGTTAAAATCACAGTGCACTTACGAATAAAGGAAAATATAGGGATCATGAACGCAAGCAGATGTTACAGAGACACACTCTGTCTAACCAGATGGAAAGAAAAACTAGCACAAAAAAAGACAAGATCATTCATTAACCAGACTATCAAGTATCATTTGTCCCCAGCTGGGCATCAGCTTTCTTCTAAAGAAGTCTCCAATATTTGCTTTTACTGTGGCTAGAAGAACGTTCAGTGGACCCAAGTAGAGAATAAAGCAATATATTGGATCAAGGGAACACTTTTCTCTTTTCTGCCATCCCGTCTCTTCATCTCTCGTGTCCTTTCCTGATTTGACACACGATACGGCATCCTGGGTGTTGCTGAGGCTGTACTATATCCACAGTACCTGCCGTCAACGTCGTTGTCATGCTAACCACAAAAAATCATTCCTTCAAAATTTATTATCAGTAGTGTAAATTTATATTATTGTTACAACTGGGTCTCGTGTTTTGTTACTTTTGATACATTTCTGTCATTTAACTGCATCAATTTCACAAGAGTACTAAGGTTAGTACCCGATCCTGCAAAAACCTACTCTAAGCAGGCTGTAATGTACAGCTGTTGAGAATTACAGCATCTAAAACTACAGTAATTTTGCTTTATATTTTTTATGCTTATCTATAGAACACAGAAAAAAGTTTTCATGTTTTATTCCTGCAAGCTTCCTTGAGGTTTAGAGCAAATGGAAATGTCTGTCTGTCCAAGCTGTCATAAAAATCCTTCTCCCTTTTTATTTGAATACTGATCTTCTTTTCAACTTATCTACCTCTCTTGTCTAACACCTGTAGTAGGTGTGATATGGGATAAATTTCAACTGAAAATGCTATGATAACATTCTGTCTTTTTGCTTTCATGTGTTTTATTTTCAAATAATCTTTATGTGGTGCATTTTGGTGGCTTTAGTGATATGTTTATGGCTTTTTTAACACAACTGTTATAGCATATTTTTCCATAAAGAACAAGAAATAAAATTTATTTTTAATTCATGTTTATTGGAATTTAATTACTTAGATCTTAAAATATTTTTATGTTTATGCACTGTCAAGCTGTTCTATGCATTTGTTTTGTCCAAGTGTATTTATAAAAGAAATAAATTATGTTTACTCATTTTTCCACCTGGATTTTTTTAAAAGGTTGTTATGAAATTTGATTTTTTAAGAGATAATGTTGACCTTTAACACATTGTAAGTTTTAAAAGTTTTGTTTTTTAAAATGCTTCCCTATTCTGTTTAAAATTAACATCTCTCTGGTGATGTTCAGTGTTTATGCTAAATACCAAATGTTTTCAAAAGGATGGTTTAAGTAATGAAGTAGATTATTTATGATGAACGGAAGAGGAAAATCATTCTATGATTAAACAAAGAAATTCTGAAAAATCATGAGAGAATCTGTGGCTTATTTTTAACCCAATTTCAGATGCACTTCCAAGTATTCCAGGAGTCACCCTTGCATTGTGACATCATCTGTGGAAAAATAGATACAAACTTATCTCCCGGGTGTCCAGACCTCCCCCACTGTATGACGTTAAAATCCAGACACAGCCCTTGCCTTTTCATTAGAGATCTCTTTCTTTTGCATCAGAGCTGAGGACCCAAAGAGAAGCATACAGGTTTTAGCTACCCTTGCTGTATTTTTTAACAATGAGAAAAAAGTGATCACATCCCTTTCCCAACCCAGTGTCTCTTTGATGAGGAAGTTACCTTGTGCGGAATTTCATACCTTTGTGCTCTTGGTTTTTCGAGATAGGGTCTCAGTAGTTCAGGCTGTCCCTGAACTTGCTACATAGCCCATGCTGGCCTCGAACTCACAGCGATCCTCCAGCCTGAGCCTCCTGAGTACTCGGATTGCAGATGTGCACGGCCAAGCCCAGAACCCTGTGCTCTTGCCTTTGCTGTCTGATAGAAATTGTCGCCTCCCCTACGAGGCTCTTCTAGCTTCCCAACCAATGCTAGACTTGGCCCTCAAGTTATCTGAGGGCCTCAAGTTGTATGTTCTAACCATTAGGTTATATTTCTGGCTCATAGCCGTTACTCCACTCTATTTTTCATTTGTGCTCCAGATGATACCAGGCTTAGCGGAACAGCCAAAAAAAAGTCCACAGAAATATTTTCCAGACTGTGATCTTAATCGGTAGGATGTGAACCTTCAAAATTATGAGAGCTTTTCCCTCCCTATAGATCATTACTAATTTATAAGTAAAATGGACCTTTTTTTACTACCTTTCCTATCTAGAATAAAACCGTGATGCTGGCTGGTGCTGCTCAGAAAGGCATCACCTCGTACCTGTGCAAATATGAATTCTCCAAGGCAAGAGCTCAGGTAGGCGTGCAAGCAGCTTTCATCCTGTGTGCTTTGACAGCAGGATAAACCCTCAGTAATTCAGGCTCAGTCAGATTCAGTCGCTCTGAATGAGTGAGGCCATTATTTACATGAAAACATAAAGGATTGCCTTATGGAGATTCTGACATGCCGTAAAAACTAGGCAAAAAATTATCATCATCATCATCATCGCGTATGTCCTGTATAAAGAATACACAAAAAGTCTTCTAAGACGGTTTTGTCTTTCACAATTATTGTTTACTCCGGGACAGTCTTTCTCAAATGCGAGTAAAACCCTAACCTCATTTAAAGCAAAAGAAAATTCCCACAGACCCTGGAGTGCTTGTCTTCCAGCTGGATTATGAGGAACTCTTTTGAACACGCACTGTGAAGGTCGGCTGGGGCCAGGGTGACTGTCAAGGGCTCTGAACTCACAGCCCCTTGTGGTTGGCGGTCACGCAGGAGAGGCCGGTGGGCATCCTGACCCGGCTCGGGTGCGCTCACCGCGTCGCCCACCCCAGCCGGCTCCCTGCAGTGCCTTCCACCTTCCCAGAGTGCAGTGCGGCTCCTTCACCTTCCAGTTCCTCTGCAGGAGCTTGGACGCGCTGAATGCCCGGGATGCACAAGCTTAAAACCGAACAGCAGACGCTTCCCAGCCTCCTCAGAGCCGCAGACTCTGGCGTTCCCCCTGGCCCTCCTGCCCCATTGGCTCCACCCACTGCCCTGCTGCTGCTCTTCCTGTCCTCTCCGCTCCCCTTCCCTTCCTTCTTCAGACTGCAGCTCCGCACACAGCACAGCCATCTCAGGTGCCATCTCCGACTTCTTGGATGTGCCTCAGGCCCTCCGGGCAGCCGCCTCGGGATGCCTTAAAAATCCCTGTTCCCTTGATGGTTACGCAAGCTGACAGAGCTTCCACATCTCCTGTTTTGTTGTGTTTTTTTTTGTTTTGGACCGGGAATCGAACTCTGGACCTCAGGCTTGCCAGGCAAGCACTTACGCCACTGAGCTATATCCCCCGGCTCCTTTTTCTCCTGTTTTGACGGCCTCTGTTCCTTGAACTGAGCGCTGGAATGAGTCAATACGAGGATTCGTGTATGCCCTGGACAAGATGCATCTCAGAGGCAGGAAAAAGAAGATGAGGTGTGCACTATTTCAGCTACACTAGGAAAACAGGCAAAAGATAAACTAGATGAATTCATGGGAGAATGAATGAAAATGGGTAATAAACAAATTTCAAAATATGAACCAAGGAGAGATGTGTTTAAATGAGATACTATTTTTCACTTATGAGATTGACAACAGGTAAAAAAAAAAAAAAAAAAGTAGTAATTACCAAATACAAGGGTATTTGAGAGGACACTCATGACCTGCTAGTGGGAGCTTAAATGAGATGGGATTTGCAGGGAGCTGTTTACCCAGCCGTGCCAGCATAAGTTTTAAATGTGGGTTCTTTGTCTTCCACCCGGTTCTTTCATTTCTGGAATCTACCTGAAGAAATGGACAGATGCAATAAGGACCCACTGACAACATTTTTAGAGCAGTGATGAGCCTGAAAAACCCACCAAGTTCTCCAAAGGCAGGGAAATGTTTAAATATTCAACAGTATGTTCTCAGAGAGCAGTAAAAGGAATAAGGACAGGGCACTTTGTAATAATGTATAGTGGAGTAGCAGGAAAAGGTAAATCTCAGGACAAAGTATGCATGTTTTTAACCCCATTCCACAGATGAGAAAATGGAGCTGCAGTCTAAGTGGTTGCCTCAAGGCCACAAAATTAAGTGGGAGCACGTTAGCCACTCTGAGACTATCTCTAGTAGTAGGCACGCCTAGGAGGCAAGAATGAAAGGAAGAATTTGATCATACATTTTACGTCAGTCCTACTGTGGAAGGTTCTACTAAGCCAGTAACATTCACTGGCGCTACTTTGGCCACTTCTCGAGAGAATCCCATAATTCCCCTGGGCTGTGGCACATTTGTCAAGAAAACATCCTTTGCCTGAGGAAGATAAATCCTCTAAGCACAGCCTACGTGAGTGAAGGCAAGACCAGAGGGTGCAAGTCCTACAAACTGATACAAGCGGAGTAGACAGCTTAGGAAGGGGAGACTGGGAAGTCCAAGAATGAGGAGAGGAAGAAGAACAGAGGTAGAAAAAGAGCTCAGGAGAGTCTGGAGGCTAAAAGACACACCCAGGCGGGTGGGCGCGTGCAAGCCCTGGGTTCCACACCCAGCACCGCAGGAGAGATGAAAAGACAGCCAGGGGGAAGGGTCTGATAGCAAATGACCACGGGCCTTTAAAGACAGGAACTAAATGTGTTAATACAGGTTCAGTTCGGCATGCAGGGAAGGGCTTAGCGACCCGGGGGAGTGGCAGCAGAGGGGACGGTAGTGATTTTGACCACCATCCTTGTCCTTTTTTAAATGATTCACACTTTTTGCAATTCATCTGCCTTCCTTCTCTGTCCCTCAAAAACAACCTTTAGTACGAAAGTAGTTTACATGACAGGGGTTCATTCATTCATTCGGATGAAAATGAAGTCAAAGTTTCAACATCCATCAAGAGATAATGATAAGCAGAAGATTCCAGTCATAAGAGATGTCAAGCCCCGGGCAGGGAATTCTGACTATGAAATTGATCAAAAGAAGAGAAACACACAGAATTCCTGGACCAGGGAATCCTTCCCACAAAGCATGAAGCTCATTCTCAAGCCATTACTTTCTGTCTGAGGTTGTGTGTTCAGATGGACATGGCAGGGACTGCGACAGTACTGCCGGTGGGCAGTGCTCTGATGGGCACCACTTGGCCCTCGCCGTGGCGTGAAAACTCCCACCCTGCTGACTTCACGCCGCCACATATGCTGGTACTGGAAGTGGAACTAGCAAGAGCTGGGTCTGGTGGGCTCTCAACTGCAGCCTACCTCTGCACCACAGGCCAGGGCTAAGTTCCTGACTCAACGTTTTCATTTAACTTTTTCAATAGCTCCAGGAGCAGGGCTGGGGATATACTTCAGTGGCACAAGCACCTGCCTGGCAAACAGAAGGTCCTGAGTTCAATTCACCATAGAAAAAAAGGAAATAACTCCAGGAGCAAATGTCCCATTATTATCCACACTGTACGGGTAAGGAAACTAAGACCAACAGGTAAGTTGTGAGTCCAAGCTTCACAGCTCATAAAGTGCAATTAGGATTCCCACTCAGTTTCCTGACTTTCCAAGCAAGCCCACATCCCAGACCATGAAAAAGACTCTGTATCAGTCAGGGTTTACTAGAGGAACAGATATAATACAAAATAAGCAAATGTACAAGAAATTACAAGTTTGGCTTACGATGGTCAGCCACAGAGTTGGATGAGGAAGTGTTCAGCGGGTGTTTGCACAATGGAGATTGAAGAGCCCAGACCCGGGCCTGGAGCTTGCTGCAGTGTCCGTGCAAGTCCGTATCAAAAGGCTGATGGGTCTGCGATGGAATGTTGAGGAATCTACAATGAAGGCCGGAGAGCCTACACCAGAAGGCTGAAGAGTCCCAGACGGAAGCCCAACAGTCTGCACCAGAATGCAGGAGATGACCAAGCCGAAGGCAAAGCCTGGAGCTCCTCCAAAGAACCAGCAGCCAGTCCTTCCTCAATTCCTTTTTTTATGCAGTCTACCTGCTCTGGGGGATGGGGATGGTCCTCTACACCCACACCCTCTGCATGCCTGCCTCTTGCACCAGTTTAGGATGAATACAAACTAAGCACCCGGCTCCCTTCTGAGTCACACAGTTAACCTTCTAAACTTCTCAAATTAACACAATAAACAACATCCCAGAAGGGTAAGGGTGTGTCCTTTTTACCCAAGATGCCGAACTGCTGAGTCACTTAGCCAAACCTCTAGACTCCCCAAGTTGGCACAATGTATCAACCATAACAGACTCCATCACAGCACCAAACACACTTGGTGCTTAGAAGATCTTACTTTCTTCTGTATGGATCTTCTGGAAAGTAGCAATGATTCAGGCCTGTACCTAAGCTCTGTGAGAAAGGTTTCAATGTTAAGTGAAATAAATCTGGTCCACCACCTTAAATAT